CTCACAGTTTCCTGGCAACCATCCCACCACACATTTCCTCTGTCAGCTCACGCTCCCGCCTCACGGCCTTCGCTTCTCTATCTCACCAGGCTTGGCTTCCTTCTCAGAGCCACCGCCAGGAAGCGGGGTGCTAGTCATCACAACCCCTCCTGCGCACTCAGCCCTCCCCCGCCCGCTGCGCTCCGCTTTCTGCAGAGCCAGAGGCGGCACTGAACTTGCGCCAGTTCAGAAGGAATGAATAACTGGGAAGGCAGATCGAACTTGGGAATGAAGGGAGAGAAACACAAGGGACCTTGAAGCAGATGGTGCCAAGCGAGGTGACACATATTTCCTGAACAGCCGCTGGTTTGGGGCACACATTTTAAGTAATTAGAGGCTCCAGGGACCGGAGGAGAGTATGTTGTTGTCCCCAGAGTCCCTGCCAAGAACACGGGTGTCTCACTGCAAACTAGACCAGTGATGGCGAACCTTTTGAGCTCGGCGTGTCAGCATTTTGAAAAACCCTAACTTAACTCTGGTGCCGTGTCACAAATAGAAATTTTTTGATATTTGCAACCATAGTAAAACAAAGATTTATATTTTTGATATTTATTTTATATATTTAAATGCCATTGAACAAAGAAAAATTAACCAAAAAAATGAGTTCGCATGTCACCTCTGACACGTGTGTCAAAGGTTCGCCATCACTGAACTAGACGATGGGTTTACAGAAGGATTTCTCAACTTTTGCACTGTTGACATGTGGGGCTGGATAATTCTTTATGGGGAGGGGGTCCTGAACATCGTAAGGTATTTTACAACATCTCTGGTCTCTGCCTCCTAGCTGCCAGGAGCCTCCCCTGCCCAGTGTGACCTCCAAAAATGTGGCCAGACATTGCCATATGTCACTGGGTAGAGAACCAATGGTCTACGGAAAATGAGGGCTGAGGTTAAGGTCAGTTTCCTCTCTTTCCTTCCGTCGGGATTACTTCCACCCACCTTGCTCGGCCTGGGCCGATCAGGTGACCCTCACATCTCCACGAGTTCACCATGCTGGTGTGGAAGCAGGTCAGGGTTCTGGTCCCACAACAGCTGCGTAAAACTCAGGGCTTATGAAAGGCTCTGGGGAAACCCAAAGGGGAACCCTTGGCCTGTTTCAGTCATGTACCCCTGCACCTGCCCCAGTCATCTGCCCTCCGCGCACACCCCCACCGACATCCTCCTCTTTTCCTCAGTGTGGCCCCTGCTGACACTTTTCAGGACTTGCAGCAGCTGGAAGGTGTAGGTTGAGCTTGACAACAGTTGCCTTGGCCATTCCAGGTCACCTTTTACTAGTATATCGGCATCTGCATGTCAGAAGCAGCAGTAATTATGAACATCGAGTAAGAAACTCACAAGGTTCCTCATATGCCAGAATAAGTAGAGGAATGGAAAAAATTATTACTCAGCAGTTGTTGGATAACCAAAAGTATTTAAAAGTTCCTCTTTCTGTGGCGAGCAGATCCAATTTATTATGTCTTTTTTCCCATTTTGCTTCTTTAATTTTAGAGAGGAAGGGAGAGGGAGAGAGATAGAAACATCAATGATGAGAGAATCATTGATTGGCTGCCTCCTGCATGGGATCAAGCCCACAACTCGGGCATGTGCGCTGACCAGGAATCCAACCATGACCTCCTGGTTCATAAGTTGATGCTCAACCACTGAGCCACACTGGCTGGGATTCCCTCTCTGTTTTATCACCCCTTTTGGAAAAGATCATCTCATCTGTGCTTAAAAGCTTGTCACATACGATTGAACTGAGTTAAAGAGACAGACACACACCCCTGGCCTTTGTAGAACCTGGAAGACCTTCAACATCATATAATTTCCCACCGATCTTCCTAATTAATAGTAATGATGAGAACATTTACCATTATTCTGAGAGGGAGACACACGTTCTCTGGCCTACTGTTTTCTGGAAAGTCTCCCATTAGGGATGTATCCCTTGATAAGACTGTTTCAGAATTCAGAGGGAGAAGTTTTGGATGTTCGTGATGATGATAACAGCAAACATTCGTATGGCATTTGCTATGGAAAGCATGCAGGTAAAATGACTCATCGGAATCTTGCCATGAGTCCATCATGTTGGTGCTACTATCAACCCCATTCAACAGATGAGGAAACTGAGACAGAGACAGGCTCAGTAATCTGGGAAAATGGGTTGTTCGTTATGGGCCCCAACTAAAACCAAACGGTTATTATAATTATTTGCAAAACAAAGCTCCCTTCACACCATTCCCAACCGTGGGGCCATTTACCCAGGTGATGGGTGCTCATTTCTCTCCAAGTGGTTCAGGTTGTTTGAATGTTTTTCCCCCAAATATCTATCCCTGGAAGGAACACTGACTGTCTTTCCTATTGACCTAGAGAACAGAACAGGGTGAATGGACCACAGAGCAGGAAAGGTGTCCCGACGACCAGAACTTGCTGCCTCACCTTGGGCTGCGTGGCCCCAGCATGGGGTAGAGGGGACAGTTCTCCCTGTTGTCAGTGGTCTCCACACCAGCATGAGTGCCCTGAGTTTCCTCCTATGGCCAGGGGTCTGTGACTCTGTGGCAAACCCTTTGCTGAGTGCATGTCCCCCTTGTTAGACGCTCCAGTCCATCAGGCTACCAACCAAATACCACAGGCTGGGCAACTTCTAAACATCAGACATTTTCCAGTTACAGTGCTGGAGGTTGGAAGTCAGAGGTCAGGTTGCCAGCATGGTAGAGTGAGGGCGTTCTTCTGGGAGGCAGACTTCGTCTGTCCTCAGGGCACAATTGGACAGCGAGCTCTCTGGGGTCTCTTCTATAAGGGCACTAATCCCATTCACGAAGGCTCCACCCTCATGACCTGAGCACCTCCCAGAGGCCACACCTCCACATGCCATCACATTGGGGCACTAGGATTTCAACACAGGGATGTGGGGAGACACAGACATTCAGATCATAGCTCCAGAGAATAGCACCCTTCTTCTCTTTGGAACTGCTCATTCCCCCTGGATGGAGTGGGGGTTTTCTTGCCTCACCCTCCAGTGAACGCATCCTCACGGTTGAGCCAGAAGCCAAATTGACCAGGACCATTCACAGTCCCTCCCCAGCTTTTTGAATGGGGCCTGGGAAAGAGGGTCCGTCCCCTCTCCTAGGATAGAACTTGCGAACTCATCTCTTGAAGCCATGCTCTCTGCCCAACAGAGGAAGCTAGTCCACACTCAAGGGGTGAGACAGACACAGTAGAAACACACGTGTCAGGAAAAGAATCAGGCAGAACGTCAGTCTGTGCTTCTGGTCCCTGAAGCCCACTGGCATCTATGCATTTCCCATAATTCACTAGTTAATTATCCCGTGGTTTCGAACCTGGTGTGACGTGGCCTCCCAGGGAGCACCTGGCACTGTCTAGAGACATTTCGGTTGTCACAAGTGGCAAGGGAGACATGTAGTGAGTAGGGGTGAGGGATGCTACTAAACACCCTCTGAAACACAGCGTGCATTCCTCCCCACCCCCAAAGAATTATCCAGCTCAATATGTCAGCAGTGCCAGGTTGGGCACTGAATGATCCCATTAATTCTGTGGACCCATGTATTACCCTCCCCCGCCACACTTTTTCTAGGCTACTTCCAAGTAGATTTTTGTCACTTGCAATTAAGTGTCTTTTTTGTTCTTGTTAATCCTCACCTTAGGATATTTTTCCATTGATTTTTAAAGGAAATGGAAAGGAGGGAGGGAGAGAAACAGAGAAACATCGATTTAAGAGAGAGACATCAATTGGTTGCCTCCCGCACGCACCCTGGCCAGGGCCAGGGATTGAGCCTGCAAGCGAGGTACATGCCCTTGACTGGAATCAAACTCAGTACCCTTCCGCCTGTGGGTCCACACTCTGTCCTCTGAGCCAAACCAGCTAGGGCAAAAATACAACTACTGTATGATTCCACTTATATGGGGTGTCTAAACTAGTCACATTTATAGAGACAGGAAGTAGAATGTGGGTGCCAGGGACTGGGGGAGGGAGAATGGGGAGGAGTTGTTTAATGGGGACAGAGTTTTAGTTTTGATTGGGGGGAGGGGCAACCAGGGGGGGGCGTTCCAGGTGGATGGCAGGCCAGCCCCACCCCCTGGTTAAACTTCCAGTCGAATTCCTGGTTGAGGGGACAATTTGTATATTAGCCTTTTATTATATAGGATAGCCAAAATATGAAAACAACTAGGTGTTCATCAATATATGAATGGGTAAAACAGAAGCAGATATATATGTATGTGTGTGTGTGTGTGTGTGTGTGTGTGTATGTGTACACAGGCACACTGGAATATCACTCAACCATGAAAAGGAATGGAATCCTGCCACTTGTAACAACATGAATAGACCTAGGCGGTATTATGCTAAGTGAAATAAGTCAGAGAAAGACAAACACCATATCATTTCACTTATGTGTGGAATCTAAAAGAACTAAACAAATGAACAGACTAAACAAACAGACTCATAAGATACAGAAAAACTGATAGTTGTCAGAGGGTTGGGTGATGGGAGTATGGGCAAAAAGGTGAAGGGGATTAAGAGTGAAAACTTATAGTTATCATATAAGTAAGTCATGGGGATGTAAAGTACAGCATAGGAAATACAGTCAATTATCCCATATAATAAAAGGCTAATATGCAAATTGTCCTCTCAGGAGTTTGACCGCCTGCTATAATGTGTGCTGACCCCCAGGGTGTGGCACAGAATGAAGAAAGGCCAAGGCCAGCAGCCGGGGGAAGGAAGGCCCCGATCAGCCCTGATTGCCAGCCAGACCTACGGACCCTACCCATGTATGAATTCGTGCACCGGGCCTCTAGTATCAAAATAACTTTGTGTGGTGACAGATGAATAGTGGACTTTTTGTGGTGATCACTTTATAAGGTATATAAATGTGAAATCTCACTATATTGTACACTTGAAACTATTGTATATCAAATATACTTTAATTTAAAAGAGCTTTACAGCACCAGCCAGCATCGGCCCAAGGACTAAAGGCCCCAGGTTTGATTCCAGTCAAGGGCATGTACCTTGGTTGCAGGCTCAGTCCCCAGCCCTGGTCAGGGTGCGTGCTGAAGGCAACCAATCGATGTGTCTCTCTCACATCGATGTTTCTCTCTCCGTCTTTCCCCCTCCCTTCCACTTTCTCTAAAAATCAATGGAAAAATATCCTGTGTGAGGATAAGAGCTTTACATTCTAGAAATTTTTTAAGTGGTTAAAATGGTAACTTTCATATTATGCATTTTTACCACAATTTTAAAAAATCATCCCTTTTTAAAAAAAGTCTAGGCAGGAAAAGAAGACCTCCACTTAGTTGAGCTAAAAGGCACGAATGGTAGAGAATGAAAATGAAGCGCATCTGTCCGGAGGCCTCTGAGTATGTTTGTGAAAGGTATTTCCCAGGCCCTTTGCTATTCTACCCCCTCCTCTACCTTCTTTCTGGACCCTCCTACTGTATGACTCCAGGAGGTATCATTCACACTTTAGTCTGAATGAGTGTGGCCTGCCAGGCGGGGACTTTGTGGTTAGATCTTATATTCCTAGTGGGGCCAGGTATCACAAACCCCCCAGCCTCCTGTCTTGTGATTCTCCACCACTCACACTCGCTCTGTTAGCAGAAGTTCCTGTCCATTCCTCCACGGCATCCTGGCCCTGACTTCCTTTGCCCCACGTGACTTTTCCCAAGCTCCAGAGTTTTGTAGGGACAGAACCTCCCTCCGATGTACTCCAGGTGGCAGAGCGTCAGCTGGCAGATAACCCAGCCATCGTCCCCCTGATGGTCAAAACCTTACCTGTCACCGAGATCATGAGGTGATCACTGGGCTCTGAGGCCCAGAAAGGAGCCCTTGTTTGGTAGTACACACAGCTGTAGGCCCCAGTGTCACTGACGGTCACACTTGGAAGGAAGAAGGCTGTCTCCATTCCTACTGGACCCTGGAGCTTTATGGGTGTTGAAGTTCCTTTCTTCAGTAGAGCAAACATAATAGATTCAGTCAGATGCCTGGGCTTCTGGCACTGCAGAATCACGTTTTCTCCTGCAGTCACCTCACCCCTTTGGTGGGCTTTAAGGGAAGGTTTAGGGAAATTTCCTGTAAGAGAAGGAAGCTCAGAAGTCATGGGCAGAAGCCTCGGGTCCCCGCTCAGGCTTGTCCTGGCAGGTTCCCAGGGAGTGTGGGAAGTGACAGACACCTGACCTCACCCTCTTTCTGCTCTGACTCCAGGAAGGAGATGTGCCTCCTACAAGCCCTGGATGAGGGCAGGTCCCCAGCTCTGTTCCTGTCCTTCTCCATCCACCTCCCCATCTACACTGGAGGTGAGACCCCTGCTCCTCATTCTCTGGATCCTCCCCCATCCCTGTCCTAGGGAGATGGTGTGTCATTCTGAGCACCCGTCCTCACCTGTCACCAGCAGTAGAAGGACATCACTGGGCAGTGACATTCTGGTGGGGCTCATTATCCTGTAACATTCACAGGTGTACTTTCCAGAGTCACTGGTTTTTACATCACTGAGGTGAAACTCTGCCAGGCCCTCTTGGGAAACAGGAGATGGCAAGGACTCCAAAGGAACATTGTTCTTTCTGAGAGCAAACTTGATGTCCCTGAAGTTGACCTCCCCAGCAGAAGTGGAGCATCCCAGTGTCACAGTACTATTGGCAGGAACCATCCAGCTGGGCCAGGCACGGATGGAGGGCCTGGGAAGTGACCCTGGAGGAAGCACAGTCCAGGTCTGGATTAGATTTACTCACCTGCTGTTCTGAAGAAAGATAAGGGGTGAGGGGAATTTGGAGTGAAGGAGAAGGAAGGCTTTCCTTTAGAAACACTCACCAGCTCTTCTTAGGTCTTGGCCAGCACACAGCCCTGCAAAGGAATCGTCCATGAGACAGAAGCTCCTGCCTGGAGCCCACGTCATCACCCTGACCTGGTCCCCGAGGGACCACCCAGGGCTTTTGCTGTGAATGGACCCCGCATCATCCTATTCCCATCAGGCCCAACTCCCTCCCCGAGAGCCCAACTGGCATCACAGTCTGTTCGCAGCTTCTGTTAGTGGCCTAGGGCTGCTCCAACAAATTACCACACAGTTCCTGGCTTATCACAGCACAGTGTGTCATCCTGCCATTCGGTCGGTGTGAGAAATCCAGCATCGGGTCTCACTGGCCAAAATCAAGATGTCGGCAGGATTGCGTTCCTCTGGAGGCTCGAGGGGAGAACCCGTCCCCTGCCTCTCAGTTTCAAGTGCTTGCATTGGCTTGTGGCCTCTTCCCCCATCTTTATTTTTATTTTAATACTCACTGAGGATATTTTTCCATTGATTTTAGAGAGAGGGAAAGACAGAGAGAAATATCGACGTGAGAGAAACACTTCAATTAGTTGCCTCCTGCATGCGCCCTGAGCAGGCCCCAGGCCGGGAGGAGCCTGCAACCGAGGTACGTGCCCTTGACCAGAATCAAACCCAGGACTCTTCAATCCACAGGCCAACACTCTATCCACTGAACCAAACTGGCTAGGGTGTCTCTTCCCCCATCTTTGCACCCAGCAATGGTTGGATGAGTCCGACTTCCTCTTCTCTCTTTACTACTTTAAGGACCATTGTAATTGCATTGGGCCAACCAGATAATTCAGGATCATCTCTCTCAGGTCAGCTGCTTAGCAACTTTGGGTCCATCTGCCACTTTAATCCCTTTGCCACCGAAAGAGACATAGTCACAGGTTCCGGGAATCGGGACGTGGACATCTTCAGGGAGCCTGCTACACAGTGTCTCTGCCTTTCTCACCTGCCCCACTTCTCCATCCCAGGTTCCTCTCCTCTCACAATGCTCCCATGATGTTGGATGGCCTTTCTATTTTCCTCCAGAACTGACCCACTTCTCCACATCATTCATCCTTTTTTATTGAATTTATTGGGGTCACATCCTATATAATAAAGAGCTAATATGCTAATTAGACCAGGTGGCAGAATGACCTTCCTGAGCGACCAGTGGGTGGGGCCGCAGGGCCGAGAGGCAGCCAGGCTGCGAGGGCTGAGTCCCTTGCATGAATTTCATGTATCGGGCCTCTAGTTGGTTAATAAAATTATACAGGTTTCAGGGGTACAATTCTACAATACATCATCTGTTTGTTATATTGTGTGTTCACCACCCGAAGTCAAGTCGTCTTCCACCACCATTTATCCTTTACCCTCTCCTATCTCCTTCCCTCTGGTCCATCATCCATCCTTTACCCACCGTATTCTTCTACCATATCCTGCCATGTTGTCTCTGGATTTCATGGTGGAGGAGAAGACAAAGGACACGACCACCTCTGAATGTGTCTATCACCCCAAGTGGTCGCTGAGGTGACCTCTGATGTGTCACATTGTAGAGGGCAAAGGCCCCCTCCCCTCCCCTGGTGCTGTCTATTCTAGACCGTGAGAGACATCACTGGTGACAAAAGCCATTTGGAAAAGACACCTCAGTTTTAATGAGAAACACAGCAATTGGTTGCCTCCTGCATGCTCACCCTCGTTCACCCTCCAATTGGTTATTCCTCATGCCCTGGGGAAAGTTTATATCTGGAGTCACTAGAACTTGCGCCCCTCGAGGGCAGAGACTAAATCCTCGGTGGCTGGGACAGTGCCTAGGTTTCTGCAAAGGTTTGATAATTTCGTGTTGACTGACTGAGTTGAAGCCTTATGAGCAGGGAGGGAGGGTCATTTGCAAAGATTTTTGATGAGCGGAAATAGCAGTGATCTCCCCAAACGCCCTCTCAGCACAACACCATACCCACCCACAGCAACTGAGAGGGAGCAAGAGGTGGGGAGACCCCAAGCCTATGGCAAGGGCATCGGCTGCTGAAAACTTGGTCCTTTGCCCTCAGGTATTTCTTCCCGCTCTCAGAATGGCCACGTGCGTCTCTGGCTCTACCATCGGCCATGGGTAACCTCCTTGGTGCTCCAGAGCAAACCTCGGCAATCCAAAACCCGTATTACTCGGAGGAGTGACGCTTGTGTCTCCCACCTTTCCCATCTGGTGGCCGCACTTACAGCTCTAGACCGAACTGGCCCCAGGAAGTGTGCCTTTAGACACCAAGGTAGGTGGTCTCGTTTGATTAGCTTAGGACAGTGATTCTCTGCAGGGGACACTGGGCCACATCCTGGCAACTTGCAAATTCACAATACAGTGTCGTTCACTCTAGTCGCCATGCTGGTATAACAGACCCCCAGAACTTACTCATCTTACAGCTGGAGGTTTGTACCCTTTGACCAACATCTTCCATTTCTCCCACACACACACACCCAGCCCCTGGTAACCACCATTCCTCTCTTTGTTTCTATGAGTTCGGCATTTTTAGATTCCACATATGAATGAGAACATGCAGTATTTGTTCTCTCAGTCTGACTTGTCTCACTTAGCATAATACCACCATGGTCCATCCACATGGTTGCAAATGGCAGAATTTCCTTCTTTCTCATGGCTGAACAGTATTACATTATCTAGCTACATGGCAGATAGATGGATAGACAGAAAGACAGACGACAGATCTCACTCCTTTAGCCACTCATCTATTGATGGACACTTAAGGTTTTTTTTTATATTTTCACTATTGTAAATAATGCTGCAATAAACATAGGGGTGCAGATATCTCTGTGAGGTCGTGTTTTCAGGTCCTTCAGATTTTATATATATATATATATATTATATATATATATATATATATAGCCCCCCCCCACCACATACACACACATACACACACACACACAGACACACACACACACACACACAGACCCAGAAGCAAAATTGCTGGGTCATGTGGTAATCCTATTTTTAATTTTTGGAGGAACTTCCACAGCGGCCGCACTAGTTTACATTTCCACCAACAGTTCCCTTTTCTTCACATCTCTTCCCAACACTGATCTCATCTCGACGATGGCCATTGTACCAGGTGGTGAGCAGTTGTGACAGAGCCCTCCTGGCCCAGAGCCTCTGCCATTTGGGCCTCTACATGAAAGGCTTGCCAACAGCTACTGAGCTCATTGGATCCACTGTCACTTCCCTGCCCTAGGTTTTCCCAGCCATGGCTTCCTTCACTCACCCTCCAAATATTTCCACCCCACGTTATCACCTTTTATTCTTATTCTTTTGGCATTTTTATATGTTTATTGACTTGAGAGAGAGAGAAACATCAGCTGGCTGCCTCCTGCATGCATCCCGACCTCGGATCAAACCCGGAACCTGGGTATGTGGCCCGACCAGAAATTGAACTGGAGACCTTTTGGTGCGTTGGACAACACTCCAACCAACTGAGACGCACTGTCCAGTGCAAATCCTGACCTTTTAAAGTTCCCAGCCTCGCCAAAACCGGTTTGGCTCAGTGGATAGAGCATCGGCTTGCGGACTGAAGGGTCCCAGGTTCGAGTCCGGTCAAGGGCATGTACCTGGGTTGCGGGCACATCACCCGTGGGAGATGTGCAGGAGGCAGCTGATCGATGTTTCTCTCTCATCGATGTTTCTAACTATCTCTCTCCCTTCCTCTCTGTAAAAAATCAATAAAATGTATAAAAATAAATAAATAAATAAATAAATAAATAAATAAAGTTCCCAGCCTGGCTCAGTGGGAACTTGCTGTCTTTGGAACTGTGCAGACCCGAATTTGAATTGAACTTCTCCATTTCTGTGTCACATCTGTGGTTAATCTCAGATTCCTCACAGGCAATATGGGGATGTGACTATTCTGCAGAATTTTTCTAAGACATGTAACATGAAGTCATACAAAGACACAAGATTAACATTGACTCTGTGAGAAAGTTGTTCTCTTCTCATTCTATCTCTGTCTTTTTTTCCTTTAATCTTCACCTGAGGATATGTCTTTATTGATTTTTAGAAAGAGGAAGGGAGAGAGAGAGAAAAAAAATATTGATTGGTTGCCTCCCATACACACCCTGACCAGGGATTGAACCCACAACCTGGGTATGTGCCCTGACCGGGAATCAAACCAGAAACTTTTTTGGTGTGTGGGTCAACGCTCCAATCAGCTGAACCACCCAGCCAGGGCCTGTCTCTGTCTTGATCACAGAAGAATACCACAGCTGGTTACTAGTTTCCAACCCATTTCCTTTTTATTTTAATTTGTATTTATTGACTTAAGAGAGCGAGAAACAGCAATCTGTTGTTCCACTTATTTAGGAATCCAAAGAGGACCACACCAAGACACATCATAATTAGAATGCCAAGAGCAAAAGACAAAGAGAGAATCTTAAAAGCAGCAAGAGAAAGACAGTCAGTTACATACAAGGGAATACCCATACGACTGTCAGCTGATTTCTCAACAGAAGCTTTGCAGGCCAGAAGGGAATGGCAAGAAATATTCAAAGTGATGAATACCAAGAACCTACAACCAAGATTACTTTATCTAGCAAAGCTATCATTCAGAATTGAAGGTCAGATAAAGAGCTTCACAGATAAGAAAAAGCTAAAGGAGTTCATCACCACTAAACCAGTATTATATGAAATGCTGAAAGGTATCCTTTAAGAAGAGGAAGAAGAAAATGGTAAAGATACAAACTATGAACAACAAATACACATCTATCAACAAGTGAATCTAAAAATCAAGTGAATAAACAATCTGCTGAACAGAATAAACTGGTTATTATAATAGAATCAGGGGCATAGGAAGGGAGTGGACTGACTATTCTTGGGGGGCGGGGAAGAGGTGTGGGGGATGCAGGAAGAGATTGGACAAAAATCGTGCACCTATGGATGAGGACAGTGGGGGGGGGTGAGGGCGGAGAGTGGGGTGGGAAACGGGTGGAGGGGAGCTATGGGGGGGAAAAAGAGGAACAACTGTAATAATCTGAACAATAAAGATTTAATTTAAAAATACATTTTTAAAAATAAAATCAGTAAAAATTTAAAGAATAAAAACCTGAAGCAATTTGAAGAAGAATATCACTTATGAAAGAACACAGACATGTGCCCCTGCCGGTGTGGCTCAGTGGTTACAGTGTCAGCCCGAGGACTGAAGGGTTTCAGGTTTGATTTATGAACCTGGGTTGCAGGTTCAATCCCCAGCCGGGTTTGGGCATGTGCGAGAGGCAACCAATCGATGTGTCTCTCTCACATCAATGTTTCTCTCTCTTTCTCCCCAGCCTTCCCTCCTTTCCACTCTCTCTGAAAACCAATGGGAGAAAATACCCTCAGGTGAGGATTAACAACAAAAAAGTATACAGACATGTGACAAGCATCTGGCAAAATGCAATTGGGAAGTCCAGCAATGACTGAATTGGGGAAGCATATAGATAGAGGAAAATGTGTGTAAAGCACCCAACACATTCCTCGTTCGTAATAGGTATTCAGGAAAGGAAATACCTGCTCTTCGCTTACCCGTCCAACCCCATGACCTACCCCACAAGTTACCCCAAGTCCAGTTGCCTCCATAGCCCAACTCATCACCACCCTCAATGGCCCTCCGTCCCCCATACTTACCAACGCAGAACAGAGCCAGGAATGGGAGGATCATGGTGGCCCCCGACGCCTCTTTCGAGGATCTTTCTTGAGCTTTGCTGTTTGTCAGAATGGTCTCTTGACTCCTGGATATGCAAAACCAGCACCGTTTTTAATCCTCCACTGATGTATACCCCCAGTTTCTGCCTCACAGTTGAAATCAGGAAGCTGTGGCTATTTATTGCAACACCCTCTCAAGCCACTTCCCACCGGCTTGACTCACAGAGCCGCTTGGCGGCAGAGCCCAGCTAGCCCAACGTTAAGGCGCATTCGCAATTATTTTATAGCCCTTGTGCCCTTCTACGCGGCCACAGAATTCAGCTGGAGCTATGGCAACCAGAATAGCCGCTCCGTGTCTCTCTGGTCAACGGGGCTTGCATGGAAATGACATGTACAAGTTCAGAGCTCCGCCCCTCGGGAACTCAGAGGGCTGGGGCTGGGCCAGAGCTGATAGCAAAGAGATGAGACATTGTGGTGGCATCGGGAGGGAGGGAGAAGCCGGGAGGATGGGGAAACGGACCCTGTAAGTCAGTGGTTCTCAACCTTCCTAATGCCGCGACCCTTTAATACAGTTCCTCATGTTGTGATGACCCCCAACCATAAAGTTATTTTCGTTGCTACTTCATAACTGTAATTTTGCTACTGTTATGAATCGTCATGTAAATATCTGATATGCAGGATGTATTTAGGAGACCCCTGTGAAAGGGTTGTTCGACCCCCATCGCGACCCACAGGTTGAGAACCACTGCTGTAAAGGCAAGCTTAAGAAAAAGTGTTCCTTGCCCAGTCAGTGAGGCTCAGTGGTTGGGCATCGACCTATGTACCAGGAGGTCAGTGTTCAGTCCCTGGTCAGGGCACATAAGAAGCAACCAATGAATCTATATATATAAAAGCCTACGCGACTGTTATGACTGGTCAACCGAATGACCAGTCGCTAAGATGCACACTGACCACCAGGGGGCAGCTGCACAATGCAGGAGCTGCCCCCTGGTGTTCAGTGCGCTCCCACAGCCAGCCTCCCGTGGCTGGCCAACCTCCCTCGGTCCCCCCCGCCCCCCCCCCGGGAGGTTGGCTGGCTAGCCCAATCAGACTGGGCAAGACAGTCCCGATTGGCCCTGATCACCAGCCAGGCCCAGGGACCCCACCCATGCACGAATTTGTGCACCAGGCCTCTAGTGCATAAATAAGTGAAACAACAAATCCATGTTCCTCTGTGGACGTGCTGGGGACTTCCTGACCTGGGAGCAGCTCTTTAGCAACATTGGCCACAAGTGGATATATAAATACCTCAGCCCCCTTGACCGTTGGAAAATAACTGTGAAGTGTGTGTTCCTGACTAGCCTCTATTGCTCAATCAGTACTAAGTACCACAGTATTAGGTACCAGCCATACTGAGCCCCAGCAGGATTGGTACTAGCAGCACCGAGCTTCTTACCACTCAACACTCCCGTGTTCCTTTCGTGACTTTGCCTAATTTCAATGGGGCACACATCTTGTTATTAAATTTTCCAACTTCGCCCTAGCCGGTGTGGCTCAGTGGGTAGAGCACCGGCCTGCAGACTGAAGGGTCCTGGTTTGATTCCGGTCAAAGGCACATGCCCAGGTTGTGGGCTCAAAGCAATATTTACCGCCATGAGGATGCACATGAACATACTCTATTTTATTAATAATGCTGCCTTCTCGAATCATGACCCCCCCATGTGTAACACATACTCGTGCAGGTGCCCAATTTGCGGAAGGATGAGCAATCTCTACTGGGGTGGGCTTTTGTTTCAGAAACTGACCTAAACCAGGACAGGTATTTTGATTGGGAAATTTATAATAGGAGTAAATGGTATAAAATGATGTCATTTAAAATATATATAAGTGTTTTATTGTCCTAGCCGGTTTGGCTCAGCAGATAAGAGCTGCAAACTGAAAGGTCCCAAGTTCGATACCACATGATCTCACTCATTCATGGATAATAGAGACCATTATAAACTTTTGAACAATAATAGATACAGAGGCAGAGCTGCCTCAAACAGATTGTCAAACTGCAGCGGGAAGGCCGGGGAGGGTTGGGGGGCAGGAGGGAGGCGGGTAAGAGATCAACCGAAGGACTTGTATGCATGCATATGAGCATAACCAATGGACATAAGACACTGGTGGGTAGGGGAAGCCAGGGGATTGTCAAGGGTGGGGGAAAAAAAGGACACATATGTAACGGGATGACGCTCCACCAACTGGGCCACACCGGGCTGACATGATGTTCCTTCAACACCCAGTTCTCTCAGTGGACCAGACTAGGGTAGTCGTGAGTTAAGCAGAACGGAATTTTGAAGTCAAATTAGCCGCCTGTGTGCATTGACTTGATGAAGAGATGAGAGGAGACACTTGGAGCAGAACTTCCTGGGTTTGGTCTTAGTACCAACGGGGGACCCTGGCAGACGTATCCAGGGCAATCCCCGTGGCACACGTGGATGTGGGAGATCAAGGGAGAGGAAGGAACCCGGGGTATAAAGAGAGAGCCAGGCCTGGGAAGGGCTGCAAAGTCAAGTTTGTTCTTCAGCTTGACTTCATCTATTCACTCATTCATTCAACCACTCATCAGGCATTCATTCTCACACCCATGTATCCATTCCTCCCTTCATTAATCAATGTGTTAATCTACTTACCCATTCTCTTCCTTATTCAATATCCATCAATCTACTTACGTATTTATCCAATATTTTTCCCAGTGATGAGCAAAGACAAGTGTTCAATGAATGTTTATTGAGTGGATAGCAGTCATAATGCAAATTTCACTGGCTGCCATTGATCATGTCTCCATCCCAGTCTTTGTTGCCAGGCAGTTGACATGCTATGTCAGTCTTCTAAGATCCATACAGGGGTTTAACCTGTTGGGTTTCTTTTTCTCCCTGTGGCTGCCTCTTCGAAACAAGAACTAATCAACACCACAACCTCTTCCAGTTTGTTGAGTCAAGACTTCTGGGTTTTACTGGCTTGAGTGTCCTCTTTCACTTTCATTTTTAAGTGACGAAGAGCTAGGGGAATGTTTAACATTTAACAATTGCAAAGCAATTTATGATCTTTGAGGCAGTGGTTCCTTTTATTTCTCACTCATGAAGGCTCCGAGGTGGTCTCTGCCCTCTATTCCCGCTTGCCTGGCTAACTCTGCTCACCCTTCAAGTCTCAGATTAGATGCTGTTTCCCCTGCAAACTCTTGCCTGACCCACATGTGCTTCCCTGGTGCCTTATCACACCCTGACTGAGTACTTAGGATACTGTATTCTTTTTAAAAAATTGATTTTTAGAAAGAAAAGGAGAGAGAAACATAGATGTGAGAGCAAACATTGATTGCTGCCTTCTGCAGCACCCCCTACTGTGGATCGAGTCAGAAACCCAGGCGTGTGCCCTGACTGGGAATCGATCTGTTAAGCTTTCTGTGCATGGGACGATGCCCAACCAACTGAGCCACACTGGCCAGGGCTAGTGTGATGTATTCTGACTTTCTCTCTCCTGGACCAGACCACAAGCTCCTCCCAAGGGACCAGGTTGTTTTATCCCCAGGGCTTGGGAAACATGCCCAGTGTGGCTGCATGAGCTCACCACGCTGAGGATGCCATAGCAGGCTCCGTACTTTTGCCCTTCAGTGGTGGGCAGAATAGTGGTTCTGCTGAACATGTGAAGTGCCAATTTCCAGAACCTGTGGATGTTACATCTGGCAAAAGGGACTTCACGGATGTGATTAAATGAAAACTCATGAGACGGGGAGAGCATCCTGGATTATCTGCGTGGGTTTAATGTCATCACTAGGGTCCTTGTAAGAGGGAGGCAGAGCCCGACATGGTTTGGCTTAGTGGATAGAGCGTCAGCCTGTGGACTGAAGGATCCCAGTTCGATTCTGGTCAAGGGCACATGCTTGGGTTGCGGGCTCGATCCCCAGTAGGCAGGAGGCAGCTGATCAGTGATTCTTTCTCATCATTGATGTTTCTATCTCTCCCTCTCCCTTTCTCTCTGAAATTATATATATATATATATATATATATATATACACACACACACACACACACACACACACACACGCGTGCACACACTAGAGGTCCGGTGCATGGATTTGTGCACCAATGGGGTCCCTCGGCCTGGCCTGTGCCCTCTCGAAATCTGGGACCCCCTTGGGGGTTGTCAGACTGCCGGTTTCGGCCTGACCCCTGCAGGCCAGGCCAAGGGACCCCACTGGTGCACGAATCCATGCACTGGGCTGGTTTCAGCTTCATCCCTGCAGGCCAGGCTGAGGGACCCCACCAGTGCATGAATGCATGCACCGGGCCTCTAGTATGCATATAAGATATTTGGTTAATCTCTTCCCCTGCTCCACCCTTCCTTCTGAGATTCATCAGTCTGTTCCATGTTTTCATGCCTGTGCATTGAATGTCTGTCCCCTGGTGGTCAGGGTGTGTCATAGCTACCAGTCGAGTAGTTGGACACTTAGCATATTAGGCTTTTATATAGAGAGGTGTGTGTGTGTGTGTGTGTGTGTGTGTATGAAAAAAATACTGCTCCTGCCCAGTGGCTCAGTTTGGTAAAACTTTATCCTTGGCGCCGGCAGGATTCAGGTAAATATCCAAATAGAAGACATATATGGTTATTTGTGGTGTTCTTCGCCGGAGTAGGAAGGAAAAGAATGT